CAGATTATTGATTCAGTATATAAATAGTTCAATGTTATTACAAGTAATCTAATTCTAATTATTGCAGAATTATATTCTTACATTTTGAAAGATTATATTCGTATTTTTTCAACCGACTTGGACTGATTTAAGTATCGGATAATTTTCGCCAGAACCCAAGGTCCGACGCCCTAACGCGTGTTTTTTACGCGAAACGCCTTGTTTCTCCCAGTTAAAGAAGATTATCGAAGAATTGTTTTGGTTCTCGAGATGATTCTAGTCAATTTATTGTTGACCGCATCAATTACCAATCGAACTTTTTTGTATCATATTGGGTGAAACTCATATAATTTCATTGTTTATTCACATATAATATAAAGTGCATCAATAAATTTTAGAACTTATGGAATTATTTTCAAAAAATTAAAATTAGAAATCAGAATTCATATATATGCAATGCATAAGATAAAAGTAATAAAAAACAACTAAATTAAATAGTAGTATGCAATGAATAAAAATTAAATAATTTGTTGTAATTTGGTGTTGAAATCGGCCCAGGCCCATTAACCATCAAATAATTAATACTAAAACAAAATAAGGAAAAAAAAACTCCTATGGTTTCATTTTCAAATATATCTCCGTCACCTGCAAATTGCAATTGAGTTGCTTATTTGAATTTGTTGTTCAATAACCAAATTCAATCGCAGAACCACATTCTTCCTGTCAAAGGTAAAGTACTTATGCTAATTTTTTTAAATTTTTTTTATATGAGGCTTCCTTACTAGTGATCTTTGATGCATTCAATGTGTTTGATGAAATGCCTAACAGAATATCTTCCTCTAATATTAGCCAAGAATTTCTGGTTAATGCTGCTAAATCTGCATTGGGCATTAGGAATCACTCGAATATATTGTTTCATATGCTTCGATCATTTGTACGTATCGATGCTATTATCGTGTCACCACGTCAAAGCTCGTAGATTTTTTGAGCAATGTGTCTTTGTGTAGCTGCATTAAACTGTCGATGCTTTACAGGCTTCGTTCTTCATAGGGATGCTAATCGAATGTACAAACGAAATCTAATATTATCAAGTAGAAGACATTCGTCCCGTCTGTTTACCTATCTTGTTAAGGGGAGAGAGAACACAAGATGAGAATCTTGACGATAAATCTCCCACACCGAAAAAATGAGACCGATAAGCCCAACAGTAAACCACCCCATGCTCCACCTTCTAGAAACTTCCGAAACCTTAAACACGATCAAACAAGTACACGCCCAAATGATCACAACTGCCTTAATCCTCCACACGTACCCGATCAGCCGTATTCTTCTCTCATCCGCCAGATTTGCCCCCTTACCCTACACACTGACGATCTTCAACCAAGTCCGAAACCCGAGCATTTTTCTGTACAATACCCTCATATCTTCTCTAACTCAAAAAGATCAACCAAAAGTTGCCATTTCTCTTTATTGCAAGATTCTCACCACTCGACAACATATGCTCAAGCCGAATAATTACACGTACCCTTCTCTCTTCAAGGCCTTCGGGTCCCACCAATGGTTCGAACATGGCCGGGCCCTACACGCCCATGTCTTGAAATTTCTTCATACTCCGTACGATGGTTTCGTTCAAGCCTCGTTGCTTAATTTCTACTCGAGATGTGGGAGAGTTGATACTGCTAGATATTTCTTCGATCAAATAAGCCGACCGGATTTAGCCACGTTGAACTCTATTCTATCTGCTTATGCTCGTGATTCTAGTCTCGGATTTGTGTCCGATTCTGGTTTAGAGGTGTTGAATTTGTTCGGCCGCATGCAGAAATCTTTAGTGGAGCCGAATGAAGTGACATTAGTGGCTTTAATCACCGCATGTGCTGAATTAGGCGCCCTCAGCCAAGGCACATGGGCGCATGTTTATGTAATCAGAAACGGGCTTAGCCTCAATCGCTTTATCGGGACGGCATTAATTACCCTGTATGCAAATTCGGGCTGTCTTGGATTTGCTCGGCAAGTGTTCGACAAAATGCCTCAAAAAGACACGTTTTGTTTTAATGCCATGATTAGAGGACTCGCGGTCCACGGTAATGGAAACGAGTCTCTTGATTTATTCAAGATAATGAAAGAAGAGGGTTTTATTCCGGATGATGTCACGATGTTAGCTGTGATGTGTGCTTGCTCCCACGTGGGATTAGTGGACAAAGGGCGTAAATATTTCGACTCGATGATAGGTATTTACGGAATTGAGCCGAAGATCGAGCACTATTGTTGCCTAGTGGATCTTTTGGGTCGAGCGGGGCTGGTCAAAGAAGCCGAAGAAAGGGTTTTGACCATGCCGGTGAAACCTAATGCAATTTTATGGAGGTCTTTACTTGGTGCAGCTAGGGTTTACGGGAATTTGGAGATAGGCGAATTTGCGTTAAATAAATTACTAGAATTGGAGACCGAAACTAGTGGGAATTACGTGCTTTTATCAAATATTTACGCGTGCATGAATAAATGGGAAGATGTGAAGAGAGTGAGAGAGTTGATGAAAGAAAAGGGCGTCGATAAAACGCCCGGGAGTAGTTTGGTCGAAGTTGATGGCTCGATGCACGAGTTTTTGATCGGTGACAAGAGCCACCCTCGCGTGGGAGAAATATATTCGAAATTAGAGGAAATGAATATAAAATTGCGAGAGTTCGGTTATCGGGCGAGGACTCGAGAAGTGTTGTTCGATATCGAAGAAGAGGAGAAGGAAGACGCTCTTTTGTACCATAGTGAGAGATTGGCTATTGCTTTCGCACTAGTCGCGTCGGATTCTCGTGCACCGATTAGGGTTATAAAGAATCTACGGGTTTGCGTGGATTGTCATTCGATTACAAAGATTCTCTCGGCCGTGTACGGGAGGGAGATTATTGTTAGAGATAGAACTAGGTTTCATCACTTTAGTAATGGTAGTTGCTCTTGTCTCGATTATTGGTAGATATTTTACGGTGTAACGTGTATTTCATCGGGTGTCAGCATTTATAAATTATAATATTTTTTTATAATAATTTAATCTTAATTGAAATGTACTCCATATGTTCCACAATATCTGTATCTTTTAAGAATTTTTTTTGTTACATATTATCTGTAATTTTACAATTTCAATGCTGTATTAATTACATATTTATCAATTATACCCTTTTTAACTCTCTAACACTCTTTATGCATTAATTAGTAAACAAGGATATTTTGGTCTATCTATATCTATTTTTCTAAAATCAAGTCATATTTTTTGAGATTCTTAAGACTCGTGCCAAGGTGAAAAACGACACATATTTATGAACGGATGAAGTATTAAACAATGTTGACGACCTTTGACTGCCTTCGTCGGCCAATCGAATATTCTAACGCCATGGGTTTTGTCGTAATTAAACATAATTAGTGGGAAGTAAAATATAATATTGGTTTAATAATTGAAACCTTTTGTCTTAGCTTTGTTATTTATAATAATGCAAAAAAATATTCCCAAAGTGGAGAAGTTTGTCTTTAATACAACTTTATGGTATCTATGAATCTGGTTCATGATTTGGGTAATATTCAAATCAGATTAGTGGATCTTAAGTACGTGTTAATCCTTTTTTTAAAAATTATTTTAATTGTAATTATTATTATTATTTTATGGGTTTTTTCAATTCCAAGAGAAGAGGGGTTCGTGGAAACCAAAACAACAAGAATGAAGACCATTACACAAAGGTGTTGAAAGTTCAAATTTGGTCTAATTTTACTATGTTAAATTAAAACATTATGATAATCTCGAAAATAAATAAAAATATAGTATTAATAAAAAAAAATATTTGGAAATTTATGCTACATTGAAATCGAAGCAAGGGTGTTTATATTTAGTTTACATTGTTAATTGTTATACTTACGAGTTAAGACCAACAATTTTACGTTATCGAGTTAAAGATAGTGTTTTTACGATAAATAAATAAATACTCGAATTTCGACCTCAAGATTGTTTACTATAGTTTTTATTTCTGGGAGAGAATTTTTAGGTCAAAATATAGGAATATTCCATTTATAAAATCTTTCGTACATGTCTAGTGGTGGAGCTTAGAATTTTATATTTACGCAGGAAAGTGACAACACTGTACCGCTCGAAAAGTAACATAAAATTGTATTAGATAATAAATTTTATGTGCGGTGGGACCAATCCAAAGTTTCATATAGAATAAAGAATGTTCAATTACTTGTTTGATGTAAAATTATTAAATAAAATAACATAAAAAATAAGAAAAGTCAAAGAACATAAGTATCTCGTAGCTAAAAATTATTCAAAAAGAAACATAAAATTTCATATTTGTATGACAGATATGTGTAACACATGAATCTTTCACCAAATGTCACATACATATATATTATATTGACTCTGAAAATCGTGTCTACAATAAATCTCCGTAAATTAATAAAATCTATTAATTTAACAAAATATTAAATTATCAAATTAATAATTTAATACATTTTCACCTAGTCAGAATCGAGGAAAAATATTATTCTAGCGAGATTATTAATTTATCGATATTCTACTATATAAATAATTAATATTAAATTTGTGTTCTCCATTTGGAAGTTATTTAATGAATTTTCCAATTACTATTGATTTTTCATTTTTGACTAAATAATAAGTATTGAAATCTTAAACAACAAATAATAGCTAGTTTTGCCTAAAATAATCTATATACCTAACTAATTAATGACCAATTAAATATACATTAAATACCAAAAAATAGGATTGCCAAATCTTATTATGAATTAGAAATCAATTAGTACTTTACCTTGTTCAACATTGCGTCCAGGTTCATCCCCCCTAATTTGAACTCGTAACAGTTTTCCCCCTTATAAAAATCGAAACATCCAATATAATCCAAAAACTTCACAGGTCAGTAGAATCCACTTCTTTCTCTCTCCACTTTCAAAAATAGATGAATTACCCAAAATACCCTCAACCTCAATCAATTATACAAATTTAACCCCAAAATTCCGTGCATCTTTTGTTATTCCCAAAATACCCTTCTCTCCGCCCCTTCAAATATAACTGTTGTCCAGCGCACATAGCACCAGTTGGGAGAATATCAAAAATGGCAACAATGGCTTCTCTTCACCTCAAAACCCCAACACATCTGCCCCATTCTCTCTCTAAACTACCGAGAATCCACTTCGCGCCGCCTGTCAATCTCCGCCTCCGCGCCTCCTCCGCCAGGACCGCATTCGCCGCCGGGATTTCGGCTTCCCTGATCGATCCCGACGGCGGAAAACTCGTCGAGCTCTTCGTTAACGAATCGGAGAAGGAATCGAAGCTCAATCAGGCGGCGGGATTGCCGAGGATCAGGCTGTCGGAGATTGATCTCCAATGGGTGCACGTGCTCAGCGAGGGCTGGGCCAGCCCGTTGAAGGGTTTCATGAGAGAGTCCGAGTTCCTCCAAACGCTTCATTTCAATTCGCTCCGACTCGAGAACGGGTCGGTTGTGAACATGTCGGTGCCAATCGTGCTCGCGATCGACGACGCCCAGAAGAATCGGGTCGGGTCGTCCGCCAGCGTGGCGCTTGTTGATCAGAACGATGACCTGGTTGCTATTTTGAGCGAGTAAGCACATTTACATTTTTCCTCCTTTCAATTTTTTTTCTCTTATTTAAATGATCAGCCTCGATATGAACTCTGGCTCTGGTAAAATTTGTGCTGTTTTCCTCTGCTGTGCTAATTTTTTCGATAATTGGATTTTTTTAGGGGATATTTTGTATTCATGTAGTGATATATATACTCACGATTTCAATTAGGGTTCAGTTTTTATGAAATGTTTCGATGATTCGTGCTACAGTTATCGGAAAGGGGCATATTTCACCACGAGATTTTACGACCTGATTTATCGAATTGAGAAACAAATTATGTTTCTTAAATGATTATTTTGTAGAGTTTGTGAGATTTTCTATTATGGATATCTTTGATTTTAATTTGTTTTCGGTTATGGGTAAAAACACTAATTTTTATACAGTAGTCTCAACTGGATTGAACTATTGATCAAGTTGTAGAATGCTATCTGCATGTGATATGTTTTTGGAGTTAATAATGTTTATAATATCTCAAGACGAAAATGAATAAATTATTCAATAATTCATCCAATAATTGTGTTATCTTCTTCAATCAAACATTCCTCAGTGCAAGGTCTGATTTTTAGGGAATTTTTTTGGTGTACGGATATTGTTTGACGTGCTAATAATATGCACGTCGCTATTTATAAAAGTCACCCCAACTTTGACTTGTCGTATGCGCGTATTTGTAAAGCGATTGACGTGGATAACAGTTTCAACTTTCAATGATAAGAAAATGATTGCATAAACTGAAACAACTTATTACGAAACTTTGAAATGTATTGATGAATATCTTTTCTTTTTCCGATTTTTGTGTCTAGTTGTTTGATGGTTAACTAACCATTCTCTATAGTTCATTTTTTTTTTCTCGTGACAAACCGACAATGCAGACTAATTTTCTTGGATGGTATATTTCAACTTTGTCTTATTATTTTTTTTAAATTAAAATTTGTAGCATCGAGATATACAAGCACAACAAAGAAGAAAGAATCGCAAGAACATGGGGCACAACTGCACCCGGCCTGCCCTACGTGGAGGAAACTATCACCGGAGCTGGGAACTGGCTGATTGGCGGCGATCTAGCAGTTGTAAACCCCGTTAACTACAACGATGGTTTGGACCGGTTTCGTCTTTCGCCAGCTCAGCTTCGTGATGAGTTCGAGAGGCGCAATGCGGATGCGGTGTTTGCTTTCCAGCTCAGAAATCCCGTTCACAACGGCCATGCTCTGCTCATGACTGACACAAGAAAACGCCTTCTTGATATGGGATATAAGAACCCCGTTTTGTTGCTTCATCCTTTGGGCGGTTATACTAAAGCGGATGATGTTCCGCTGAGCTGGCGAATGAAGCAGCACGAGAAGGTTTGACTTTTTTTTTTGAACTTTTGATGCTCTTATCTTTTGTGCTTTTTTTAATCATGATTGCTATGAAAACTCCTTTTTATTTTTTATGTAGAGATTAGTGTACTAGTAATCGGTTGTCGAAAATTCCTTTTCCTTTTATTTGATCTGTATGGGATACGAGTGAAACTCGGACGGAACACATCGGAAACGGGCAAAATTCCGATTCCAAAACTTTCTGTGAATGTGACCCATAAAGTAAAAAATTGACTAATATTGCACTATGTAACATAAATAAATATTGTTGATAGGTGTATTTTTGATTTTTTTTTTTGGAATTTTCAGAATTATTTTTCCGAAATTATAATCGTATCAGAAAACGGGTATTTAAATGTTATGGAAAAAAGGATATATTCTTGCATAACATTTCGTTATTTCGTGTGCTGATATTTCGATATATTTTGTCGTCCTAATTGTTATTTAGGTTCTTGAAGATGGTGTGCTGGACCCAGAAACAACAGTGGTCTCTATATTCCCTTCGCCGATGCACTATGCGGGACCCACCGAGGTGCAATGGCATGCAAAGGCTAGAATCAATGCTGGTGCAAACTTCTATATAGTGGGGCGGGACCCAGCTGGCATGGGCCACCCTGTAGAGAAACGAGACCTATACGATGCTGATCATGGCAAGAAGGTGCTTAGCATGGCTCCTGGTTTGGAGCGTCTCAACATTCTTCCCTTCAAGGTATAACACGAAATTTTTGCTCGACAGTTTTTGTGCCTATTTTTTATGGTAAACTTATGGGTGGAAATTGAACGAAAATTTCCTGAAGTTGGAACAATGTTTTTCATTAGGAATTCCGATTTCTGACTTTCCGAATTTTTTCTAACAAAATTGGAATACATATTAGTTTCTGAGTTCTGGTCCGATTTTAAATTCCGAAAATTCTGATTTTTCCCCCCCAATTTTCCATTTTTTTCTGAATTCTTTTGGAACTAAAATCGAATTAATTTTCACTTCCAAAAAAAAATTCTAATCCGGTCTGTCCAACTTCCACCCCTAGGTAAATCCAACGTAATTTCTCTTGACCGAAAGGTAACGAAAACGGAAAAACAAATAAAAATATCGTAATAGTGAAATTGAAATACTAAATCAACTGCAGGTGGCTGCATACGACAAGACACAGAGCAAAATGGCATTCTTTGATCCATCAAGGGCTCAAGATTTTCTCTTCATATCTGGCACCAAGGTATATAATCAAATATTTAATCTGAACTAGGATATCTATAATTTTCCGATTTTTTTTAATTGGTCGTGTTTCTGCAGATGCGGGCCCTAGCAAAGAATCGAGAGAACCCTCCCGATGGATTTATGTGCCCAGGTGGATGGAAAGTGTTGGTTGACTACTATGATAGTTTGGTGCCTGCTGAGAATGGTAGAGTACCTCAACCAGTTGCTGCTTGAAGTTTCTTATTACATATATAATATGTAAGTATGTATGTATAATTACATGCTTTGGTTGGGAGATACTAAATTAATTAAATCCTACTCCATATGATATTACTACTTAGTTTGTGGTTTCGACTTTCGCTAGAATCTCGTCTAGCTCTCAATAATTGCATGCGAGGAAACACGATTTACGCCCCCCGACTCAAAACTTTGTAATATATTGACACAACTGTATCGGAGTTGTGGGAATCGGTTCCTTCGTATGTACTTTGTATGATATTTGGGGTTTGTTGCTAAATCATCAAGATAATGGATTGTTGGATTTTTCAAGTTTTTTTGTTTTTTCTTTATTATTTTGTTTTTAATTATACATTTGTTTTTTGCGGCTGCTATTTCGAGGGGTGGAAATTGCAACGGGATTTACCTGGAATTTTTCCGATTTCGACCCAAATTTTTTCGATATTTCCATTTTAAACAAAAATTCCATTTGGGATTTCGGAAGTTCTTATTTTTGATTTTCCTTTATTTTGCCGATTACATTTTAATTTTCGAAAAACTTCGATTTCTTTTCCGAACATCACACTTATAATATCAATAGTATAATGGGAATTTCGAATTCTGCTGATTCCATTCTGAAATTTCTAAGTTTGTACCAAAAAAAAATTATCTTCGAAATTACGATTTTCGATAAAAAAATTTTTTTTTATGGAATTAGTTTCACCTTTGATCTTTAACATCAAGGAATTTTGGAACCAAATGTAACATTTGTATTATCCATTTTCTTGAAGCAAAAAAAATCAGAAATATAAAATAAATAAATATAGTCAAACAAGCTGAATCATAAGAACCACAGCAATATTACATGAATAATTTAAATTAGAAATATAAAATAAGTAAATATAGTCAACAAGCTGAATCATAAGAACCACAACAGTATTACATGAATAATTATAAATTACAATTTAATTTAAAAATAAAAGAATACAATCACAAATCAATCTAATAACAATCAAATTGAACTTAATAATTAAAATTATGTAATCCTTAATTCTATCCAATATTAATCATCATCTTGACAAATTCGTCGTAATTAACTTGACCATCTCCATCCAAATCAGCCTCTCTAATCATCTGCTTAACCTCTTCGTCTGTTAATTTCTCCCCTAAGTTGATCATCACCTGTCGAAGCTGCATCCGATTATCATTAATTAATTAATTAATTAATTAAAAAACTCATAATTAAATCAATAAATTATTAAGAATATAATTCATAATTCAGTTAAAAAAATTAAGAAAAGATCTATGTTCAGTGCTTTATTTAATCTTGGGTAATAATAATAATAATAATAAAATTATTATTATTATTATTATTATTATTATTATTATTATTATTATTATTATTATTATTATTATTAATAATAATAAAAAATAGCGCGTGACGAATTAAAGCGCGTAGCAGATGGTACATGTTGAGTACAATATTACTACGGATGAAGAAGACCACGCAAAGAAGTCAACGAAGTATATTAATTAATAATTACTCCCTCCGTCCCAATTTAAATGTCGTTTTGGGTTGTTTTGCACATATTAAGAAAATCAATAAATGTGCATAGATTATAGTAAAAGACAGATCAAATTACTAAAATATTCTTGACATTAATTGATTCTCAACTAATTAATTAGGAGTAATTAAGGGTAAAATTGACAATAATGCAATTAATGCTTCATTGAAAATGTAAAATGACAAATAATTTGGGACAAAAAAAACTCTCTAAAAAGACATATAATATGGGACAGAGGGAGTATAAAACAAGGACAATAATTCGTATTTTAAATTCACAAGTGGTTTCTGTTTAATGTATTAAAACCAAGTCCTTTGATCTGAACAATTAATTGATTAAATGATGCAATTAATATACGGTTAAATATTAAATCCTTAATTTAATAATTAATTTTGCAGCATTAAATAATATAGACAAGTTTTAATTTGTACCTCATCAGCAGATATGTAGCCATTTTGATCCTTGTCAAACACTTTGAATGCTTCTTTCAGTTCTTCCTCTGCATCACTCTCCTGACAATTTTTTATTTTAAATATATATATATAAATTATAATAATTATTATTATGTAGTAAAATAATAAATCATATAATTAAATATCGGGAAAAAAAAACCTTCATTTTTTTGGCCATGAGAGTCATGAATTCTTCAAATTCGATGGTTCCGTTACCGTCGGAATCGACCTCGTTGATCATGTCGCGGAGTTTTTCGACGGTCGGGTTTTGATCCAAAGACCTTATTACTGTGGCTAGTTCTTCTATTGTAATGCAACCTGCAAAATTATTATCATCTTAATTGTAGTTAATTAAATAAATTCCATCATCAAAACATGTGGAATTTAAAATTAACAAAAAAAAAATGCAAATATTGAAATATATATATATGAAGGGCAAAAATGGAACCATCTCCGTTTTTGTCAAATAGACTAAAGGCCTCCTGGAATTCAATAATCTGATCTTTGTTTAGTACTAATTCTTCCATTATCAAAGCTTGGAGAGAGACGAGAGAGAGAGAGAGAGAGAGAGAGAGAGAGAGAGAGAGAGAGAGAGAGAGAGAGAGAGAGAAAAGTGTTGTGTAGAGTATAGCTAAATTCTTGTGGGGGTTTTTATAGTATGTGGGAAATTCAAGGGGGACAAGAAAACAAAGTAAATTGCAACCTATTTTCGGTATAGTTTACATAAATTGTATCATAAATAAGTCAACATTGGGTTTATAAGGATTAAATGTAGGTCAAACTTATACTTATAGTGGTATATATATTAGTCACTATATTAATATATGGCCTTTTGTTTATAACTTAATTTGTTGATCACATATTAAAAAGATGTAATTATTTAATTTGGCTTGATTAAATAATTATACCTTTTTTTTTGTTTAATTATAGAATTGGCAATTCCAACTAGTATAATGATATCATAAAAGCTAAAAGTTGTAGGTTTAGTTTTGTTTTAAATCTTGAAATGTTTTTTTTTTTAATTTATTGACAAGAGAATGTGCAGCAACTTAAATTAAAGTGCAGTGAGTAAATTCAAAATTCACTCGAAGAGCAAATTAGTAGGAGATTTTGAAAATTGAGGATTCAGGTTTTAAAGAGAAATCTCGCTGTAAATGAAATTCCTCTTAAAATCTTAGCTTTACATGAATAGAAAAATATGAGTGACAAAAATGATATAAAAGCGACATGTTTAGGGATGTAAATTATAACTTTATCTTGTTTATGGAGGAAAATTGAATAAATGATAAAGTATAAGGATGAAAAATATAATTAATTATCAGGAGTTTTTTCAATGAGAGACAACCTCTGCGAAGTTTACTACCTAAACTTTGATTGGTTTTCGTAATAATTAATTGTTTATTAAGATTGTATTGGTTGGTACTTGGTACTATTGATAGACCCAATTTGATGCACTTCTTTCCAGTACTACTACTTAATCTACAAATATTAAATGAATATTAATTTAATGGTATTTATAAATTTTAAAATTAACGTACAATCTAATTTGATGGGAGTTTAATTCTATAAACTGCCACGTGTCTCTCGGCAAATGGTCCCCTGCTCATTTCTTTTATTTATTATTTTTTTTTCATTTTTGTTTTTAATTATTATTGTCCAATTGGGAATGACCAAGCTACGGATGAATTTCCAACTTTTTTTTTTTTTTTTTTTTTTTAATTTTCAAAACAACTCTAAATTTCGAAATTCAAATTTCCGAAAAATAAAATTATTCTTTAATCAATTCAACAATAAAATAAAATTAACTATTCTTTAATAAATTATTATTAATTTTTTTTAATAAAAAAAATCTCACACAGAAATTAATAATATCGTGAAGAATTGTATTTAACAAGTGGTATATGAAAATATAATAATTTTTTTAGTCGGTTAGTAAATTAAATATAATTACTTAATTTGGCTTGATTAAATAATTGTATTTTTTTTTGTTTAATCAAAGAGTTGGCAATTCCAACTAGTATAATGATATCATAAAAGCTAAAAGTTGCATGTTTAATTTTGTTTTCAATCTTGAAATGTATTTTTTTTTCTATTGACAAGAGAATGTGCAACAACTCAAATTAAAGTGCAGTGAGTAAATTCAAAATTCTCCCCAAGAGCAAATTAGTAGGAAAATTCGAAAATTGGGGAATAGGGATTTAAAGAGAAATCTGGGTGTGTGAAATTCCTCTAAAAAATCCTACATTTACATGAATGGGAAAAATAGAAGGAGGGACAAAAATGACATAAATGTGACATGTTTAGAGACGTAAATTGTAATTTTATCTTGTTTATGAACGAAAATTGAATAAGTGATAAAGTACATGGAAAATTGAATAAGTGGATAAATTACAACCATCTCCCTGAGGTAAAGTGTAACTATAGAAAAATCTCTTTCTTTTTGAGAAATTACATCCAGCTCCTTGCAGTTTGTAAATTTCTTACACCCCCACTGCCAAAGGGTGTTAATAAGAAATCTACAAATTACGGAAATGTAGATGTAATTATGGGAAAAAGAGGGGTTATTTTTGTAAATAGGTGGTTCTTACAGTTATTTCTATGCTACAGCCGATTAAGGTTACACTGGGTGAATTTTTACCATTGATCTATACACCAAACTAGGTGTGTGTGTTCTTATGAATAGTAAAAATCTGCTCATTGTATTTCACCCGATGTAACATAGTATAAAACGTTTCGTACTATGAATAGACTCAGTTTGATGCAGTTATTTCTATTATTATCTAATAATCAACACATAGTTAAATTAATGCATGGTATTTATATAATTTAAAAATAAAGTACTCTCTAAAATAGATAACTGAAATGTTAAATATCGTTTCAATTTTACTAATGTCGTTTGGACTTCGAACCTAATTTTGACATATTTCTATTTTGATTTTGGCAAAATTCGAAACACGAAAATTGTAGTCTTTTTTAGTTAGCTTTCTAATCCAACTTAAATCCGCTAGATTGGATGCCGTGTGACAAAGTTATGCATGAATGAGTCACATTTTGAATATTAGTTACCTCAATACATCAAAGTTGTGGGCAATATCCATTGATTCATGTATATCATTCTCGTCCGGCATCCAATTTTGGCGATTCAAGTTGGATTAGAAAACTAATTCAGAATACTACAAATTCTATTTTTCACATCCCTTTTCTGAAATTTCTTATTGCAAAATTTGGAATTAAAAATAATCAAAATCACGTTTGAAGTCGAAACATTATTATTAAAGCTCGAACGACATTTAAAAAATCATTTTCCGAAATTTTTAGATTGAAATAGATTAGTTTTAAGTGTGCTTAGAAGTTAAAACAGGTGTATAGTAATTAATTGTTAATACGGACGGCTCTTAAAATATAATAAGAAATAAACAAGAAAAAAGAGCAAAGTGTCACGGCCCGCTAGTTTTGGCCCAACTCCTTGCCAATTTTTTTTGGGTTGGGGAGGTTAAAGAATCCAAGATTTAGCCCAAATAGGGTTAGGCCCAAGTTGACCCGAATGTATAGAGGTAGGTAAAGATATTTTAGGAATTCTTTGGAGTGTTCTAGAGAACCACTCCCAACCGTTAGATCAAATAGATCTCCACCGTCCATTGATGAGGTGGACTAGTATAAATAGAGGTAGGGTCCTCATTTGTAATCATCCAAGAAATCCAACAAGCACTTAAGCAATAAAGTACTTTCTTACAAACTCTCTCGCCTTCTTAACTTCTTTCTTCGTTTCCATCACTTAGCATTCGCAACACATTTCGGGAGAGGCTGACTTAGTTATCGCGAGGGGCGAGAAGGAGCTAAGGCCGCACGGTTCGTTGTTAAGGGAACAAGTCCGTGATAAGTGGTATCAGAGCCCGGCTAAGGGCTTTGTGTTGATCGAATTCTCAACGATGGCGAACGTTGAAGATATTTCGTACGTAACCGAGGGACGTGGCATGAAGGCCCAAGTAAACAACAAGAAGAAGAGGGACCACAACAAGGCTCGTGCTATCGCGAGGGGCAAGAAGGAGCTAAGGCCGCACGGTTCGTTGTTAAGGGAACAAGTCCGTGACAAGTGGTATCAGAGCCCGGCTAAGGGCTTTGTGTTGATCGAATTCTCAACGATGGCGAACGTTGAAGATATTTCGTACGTAACCGAGGGACGTGGCAGGGAGGCCCAAGTAAACAACAAGAAGAAGAAGGACCACAACAAGGCTCGTGGGGAGAGTACCGTTAATGAGGCCGTACTAACGGATCATGGCGAAAGACTCGAGAGGCTCGAGAATAACGTCGCCATAGCGGAGCTTAGCGAACGATTCAAGAAGCTCGAGCACGATACGGAGGTGTTGGAGAATCACGTCGCCGAGCAACTCGATTTGTTTAGAGACAATGAGACGTTGCGGGAGGAACGGTTGGATCGATTGGAGGCCATCATCCAATCCCTCCAAGAGAGCATCGAAGGGATGCGCGACGACTTGGCCTTGTGCAAAAAGGCCGCCGCTAATGGGAGCGCTGGTGTTACTCCGAGTCCAAGGGTGGACTCCCCGAAGCCAACGGGATTCAACGGCATAAGGGACGCCAAGGAAGTTGAGAACTTCCTATGGATGATGGAACAATATTTCGAGGGTATCGGTCTAGTCGACGAGACGACTAAGGTAAGAACTGCTTCCCTTTATCTTTCCGATACGGCTATGTTATGGTGGCGAAGAAAGCACGCCGATATCGAGAAAGGCATTTGCCGAATCGATACTTGGGAAGAGTTCAAGAGGGAACTCAAGCGACACTTCTACCCGGAGAACGTCGTCTATGAGGCTCGAAGGAAGTTGAGGGAACTGAAGCAACGAAGTTCAATCCGCGAGTATGTGAAGGAGTTCACCACCCTCACCTTTCAAATTCCCAACCTTTCCGAGGAGGATCTCCTTTTCCACTTCACCCATGGGTTACAAGGTTGGGCCAAGCAAGAACTCAACCGACGAGACATCAAATCCGTCGGTGAAGCTATTGCCGCCGTTGAGTCTTTAACCGAGTATCAACCGAGAGATTCGTTGCGAAAAGAGAAGTGGAACCCGACTAAAGGCGGGGGAGAGAGACAGGACAATCATGGTTGGGACCATCGAGATAACCGAGACCCACGGCGAGCGTCAACCTCGAGGGGAGGAGACAAGCCATCCTCACGCCAACAACTTGAAGAGAAGAAGAAGTCGTTTGTGCCTAAGGGATGATGCTTCGTGTGCAAGGGGCCGCACGCGATGTGTCAATGTCCCAAGATGGGGTCATTGTCGGCACTCTTACAACAAGAGGCCGAGCAAGGCACAAACGAGGGGCTAGGCAACATGGGATCGCTCCAACTTCTGAACGCCTTAAAGGCTAATCCGATGCCGGCAACATCAAGCAAGGGACTGATGTACGTGGAGGCCCGCATCAACGGTACCCCAGCAAAGGTGATGGTGGACACGGGAGCGACCCACAACTTTATCACCGAGGACGAGGCCAAGAGGGTTGGCCTACGGTGGACCAGACGAGACGGTTGGCTCAAGGCCGTTAACACTAAGGCACAACCGCTCAACGGTGTAGCACGAGACGCGGAGCTACACTTAGGCACTTGGAAGGGCCAAGTGGATTTTTCGGTAGCACCAGTGGATGACTTCAAGGTGGTGCTAGGCATGGATTTCTTCCGCAAGGTAATGGCTATCCCGATGCCTTGTTTCAATTCCGTATGTATGAAAAGGGAACACCTTGCATAGTACCGGCCACCAACGGCACCACAACGGAAGAAATGACGCAACCAAGGCAACTGTCGGCCATGCAAGTTGCCAAGGGAGTTCGACGGGGCGAGCCAACATTTTAGCCGCTTTAAAGGAGGACAACCCACCCGTCGACAAAGAGGAGGACGTGCCACCGATCATCCAAACCGTCTTGGAGGCCAACCAAGACGTGATGCCACCGAATTTGCCCAACAAGCTTCCACCTAGGAGGGAGGTGGATCATGCCATCGAGTTGGAGCTAGGAGCCAAGCCACCCGCCATGGCTCCCTACCGCATGTCACCGCCGGAGCTCGAGGAACTCCGGAACCAATTTAACGAGTTGGTCGAGACGGGGAAGATCCGACCATCGAAGGCACCTTACGGCGCACCGGTCTTATTCCAAAAGAAGCACGATGGTTCTTTGAGGATGTGCGTGGACTACCGGGCGCTAAATAAGGTAAATGTTAAGAATAAGTACCTTATTCCCTTGATAGCCGATTTGTTCGATAGACTTGGTAAAGCCAAGATATATACGAAGATGCACTTGCAAAAGGGCTATTACCAAGTCCGCATTGCCGAAGGGGACGAGCCAAAGACAACGTGCATCACTCGATACGGTTCTTACGAGTGGCTTGTCATGCCGTTCGTGTTAACCAACGTTCCGGCAACATTTTGCACTCTCGTGAACAAGATCTTCCATCCATACTTGGATCGGTTCGTAGTGGTCTATCTAAACGACATTGTCGTTTATAGCGACACTATGGAGGAGCATGCCAACCACCTTCGCACCGTCTTCCAAGTACTTCGGGAGAATGAGCTCTTTGTGAAGAAGGAGAAGTGCGAGTTTGCCAAGGAGGAGGTCCAATTTTTGGGGCATATTATCGGGCATGGGTGACTCCAAATGGATGGAGCGAAGATCAAGGCTATCACCGAGTGGGAACCGCCGACTAAGGTAACCGTGTTACGATCTTTTCTTGGTCTAATCAATTATTACCGGCGGTTCATAAAATGGTACTCGGCACGAGCGGCGCCACTAACCGACTTACTCAAGAAGAACAAGACATGGGAGTGGTCCGACTCATGCCAACGGGCGTTCGAGGACTTAAAGGCAGCGGTGAGCCAAGAACCGGTCCTCGCCTTACCGGACTTTGAGAAGTCGTTCGAGTTGCACACGGACGCTTCCGACTTTGCAATTGGAGGGGTCTTCATGCAAGAGGGGCATCCGATCGCCTTCGAGAGCCGAAAGCTCAAAGAGACAGAACGGCGCTACACGGTCCAAGAGAAGGAGATGACCGCCACCATCCATTGCCTTCGAGTGTGGCGACATTATTTATTAGGAGCACCGTTCGTGGTCAAGACCGACAACGTTGCCACGAGCTACTTCCAAATGCAGAAAAAACTCTCGCCAAAGCAAGCACGGTGGCAAGACTTTCTAGCGGAGTTCGACTACTTTTTGGAGTACAAACCGGGGAAGGCAAACGCTGTGGCCGATGCTTTGAGTAGAAAGGCCGAACTCGCAGCCATTAGCTCGACAAGGGGGAACTTGGCCGACATGATCCGAGAAGGGCTCGAACATGATCCCATGGCCAAGGAGCTAATCTGACTCGTCAAGGAGGGCAAGACGAGGCAATTTTGGGTAGAGGACGACTTACTCTACACGAAGGGACAGCGACTCTTCGTTCCGAAGTGGGGCAGCTTGAGGAAGGACCTCATGAGGGAATGCCACGACACCAAGTGGGCGGGGCATCCAGGCCAAAGGCGGACAATGGCGTTGCTCGAGACGGCCTACTTTTGGCCTCACATGCGGGACAGTATCGATGCGTACGTGAAGACTTGACTTGTGTGCCAACAAGACAAGATGGAGAATAAACAGCCGGCAGGGTTACTTGAGCCACTCCCAATCCCCGAGCGACCATGGAAGTCGATCTCAATGGACTTCATTAGTGCCTTGCCGACGTCCAAGGGGACCGGATCTATCATGGTGGTGATAGATCGCTTTTCAAAGTACGGGACGTTCATAGCTTGCCCGAGGGATTGCACCGCGGAGGAGGCAGCCCGGTTCTTTTTCAAGAACGTCGTCAAATATTGGGGACTACGGATGAGCATCATAAGCGATCGAGACCCACGCTTCACGGGGCGATTATGGACGGGACTTTTCAAGCTTATAGGGTCCGAGCTTTGCTTCTCGACGAGTTTTCACCCCCAAACCGACGGGCAAACGGAGAGGGTGAATGCCCTACTTGAGTGCTACTTACGGCACTTCGTTGGAGCCAATCAAAAGGATTGGGCGAAGCTCCTCGACGTGGCTCAATTTTCTTACAACTTGCAACGGAGTGAAGCCACGGAGAGGAGTCCATTCGAGCTTGCAACGGGACAACAACCGCATACGCCGCACACTTTGGCTACGGCAACGGATGGAAGAAGTCCCGGGGCATTGAAGATGGCTAAGTCGTAGGAGGAATAAGCCGACTTAGCCCGGGCGTGCCTTGAGAAGGCTAGGCGACGAATGAAGAAATGGGCGGACGACAAACGGCGACCACGCAAGTCCGACGTTGGGGCCCAAGTGATGGTGAAACTATTACCCCAACAATTCAAGGCATTGCGGAGCATGCACAATGGACTTGTGCGAAGGTACGAAGGACCATTCCCGGTGATCGCCAAGGTCGGTAAAGTTTCGTATCGTCTAGAACTTCCAAGTTCTTTGAAAATCCACCCGGTCTTCCATGCGAGTATGTTGAAGCCTTATCACGAAGACAAGGAAGACCCGAGCCGAGGAGAGTCGCACCGAGCACCACCCATTATGACTAAATCATACGATAAGGAGATCGAGGAAGTGCTCGGCCGACAATTGAAGCGACGTAGGGGAGTTCCACCGAGTATTCAATACCTCATCAAATGGAAGGGATTACCCGAGTCCGAGGCAACGTGGGAGACGAAGGAAGACTTGTGGCAATTTCAAGATCGCCTCCACTTGTTCGAGGCAACGAGAACGTCGCCGGATTAGGCGGGGGAGGATGTCACGGCCCGCTAGTTTTGGCCCAACCCCTTGCCAATTTCCCTTGTGTTGGGGAGGTTAAAGAGTCCAAGATTTAGCCCAAATAAGGTTAGGCCCAAGTTGACCCAAATTATAGAGGTAGGTAGAGGTAGGTAGAGATATTTTAGGAATTCTTTGGAGTGTTCTAGAGAACCACTCCCAACCGTTAGATAAAATAGATCTGCACCGTCCATTGATGAGGTGGACTAGTATAAATAGAGCTAGGGTCCTCATTTCTAATCATCCAAGAAATCCAACAAGCACTTAAGCAATAAAGTACTTTCTTACAATCTCTCGCCTTCTTAACTTCTTTCTTCGTTTCCATCAGGAAACAAGTCCGTGACAAAAGGGTCCGGATTCCAAAATGGAATTGAACGAACGCCACAAAGAATAAAATGAGTCCGGATTCCAAAATTGGAATTAGATGGAAACAAGTCCGTGACAAAAGGGTCCGGATTCCAAAATGGAATTGAACGGACGCCACAAAGAATAAAATGAGTCCGGATTCCAAAATTGGAATTAGATGGACGCCAAAAAAATAAAAACCACTTATGGGCACTCATTCTAACCGCCCAAAATCCAAAATCCAAATCAGAAACGAAAACCACCCTTCTGATCAGCAGTCCAATCTCAAACCCTCACAAAATGCGTCCTCCATTCTCCGATGAGCTCCGCCACCGGAGCGCAGCCCACCGCCGCACACGCGTCGCGTCTCCTGACCGCATTGCCGAGTTTGACGGACCAGCCGTTCCCGAGGGGCGCTTCACCCTCCGCCCTCCTCGCACACCTCCGGGGTATCCGTCGGGAAACCTGTCGCACGTCGACGTCGACAAGCTGATACACCGTTTCATACGCGCCGCCGGAGTTGGTGCGGGCTCCACCTCCTCGGAAAGCGATTCAGAGTTAGATAGCCGATCGAGATCCGTGATCGTCGAGAGCAAATGCCTTGCAGAACATGGCTAGGATCGCAGTGAGAAGCAGTTTGGAGTTGAACGCGTTGAAGATGCTGAGGAAGAAGCACCGCTGGCCAGGCGATGTATTCATTGACAGCGAATCTTCCAACGCCGAAGTTCTTTACCAT